TCAAGTGATAGCCACGTCCACCCTAGGGAGAACATGGATTAATCTAAACCTCTGCCTGGGATTCCAGTGGAGAATTTGTTGTTCTTACTATGACACCAGGTAGAACTCCAAGTTCTCAGTAAAAGTATACTGTGTGGTTTTTAATATCCAAGGGGACATGGGAAGCAGGGCCCTGAGGTTAACATTTAACTGAAAACCAGCAACTCTGGGCCGCAGCCCAAGTTAGAACATCGGCCTTGCTGTTCCCAAAGGTTTGCAGAACCCGACTTTTCAAATTGGATGAGGAAGTGGGACAGAAAAATATATTTAAACAGATGTTTTAGAAATTAGAAAATAAAGATCTTAAAATACCCTAAGCCCTGAGAAACTGTCCTGCTAAAATGTGACATAAATTTAAATTGACTGTGTTCCCTTAACTGTGCCCGGTCTCCTCACACAAGCTTTTAGGCACTTCTCAGGATCTGAGACCTGGAACTGTAGGTGGAGGTACATAGGTAATGTATGTGTATTTGTATGTATGTATGTATGTATGTATGAACATTGTGTGTGTGTGTGTGTGTGTGTGTGTGTGTGTGTGTACATGTATGTGTATGTGTGTTGGTCCTCAAGAGTCTTTGGAGTGTTAGGAAGATTTTGAGTTCAGCAATTGCTTCTAGTAAGAGGTCGATGCTCCCTGAAGGGAAAGTCAGCCTCCTACCTTTAGAGGCATTGTGCTCTAGATTATGTATCTGGAGTTTCTACTTGCTGAAATAATTGTTCAGTTAAGCCAAGGACAAAGGAAACCTTAATTGGCTTTTATTTCACAGTAATGAAACCTTTCCTTCATTTCTTATTGATGAATTTCTATTTTCCATTTCTTGGGGTGTATGTGTGTTTCCATAGCTGGGAATTTCCATGAGTTTCTATGACTTTCCCTATGTCTAGTTATTAACTCTTTTTTTAAAAACTTATTTCTTTATGGCTGTGACGAGCTCTCACTGGAGGTAAGTTACAGGAACCTGGGACACTGCACAGCTCCTGTAGGCTAGAGGGCAGGGAAGCAGCTGGGGATGGTGGCAACCTTCCCTAGTCCTAGGAAACACCAAATCCAGAAGCAAAGGGCTCATGAGAAGCTAGGTGGGTTGCCCTTAGGAGGCTCAGTTTCTAACTATCCAGGCAGGTCTGCAAACCTCAAGGATGAAAACATTTATTGCGAGACAAGACGGCCTGTGATGAGGCTTCCAAGCTCATAACGCCACAGACAGCACAAAGCATGGAACTCTTTTGGTTTCACTGAGAAGTCAAGAGGAAAATGAACAAATCTGGTGGACTATTTAGTCCAGGAGTCATACGTTCTAACATGTTTATAAAACACAACTGAGAGACGTTTATAAAAGTCGACACCTATCAAAAGAGTGAACAAATACATGTGAATCATGCCTCTAAAGGAAGTATGTGAGCTTTAAGAAAGTAACCAAGGCTATCTCTTAATTTTAAAAACAAGTTGGCTAAAAAATATAGCGATCTAAATTTCTTTAATAAGCAATCTTTCAAGCACAAAGCAAAGATTTCAACAAATCTGAGGTACAATGATCTCACGAGCACTCGAAACCCTCTGAAACAGCCTTTAGTTCACTTCCACATACTTTTAAGCATTCCCAGTTATGAAAACACACACACATGCATACACACACACACACACACACACACACACACACAAAGCCACACACAAGCACACGTGTACACACACACACACACAAGCCACACACAAGCACACGTGTACACACACACACACAAGCCACACACAAGCACACGTGTACACACACACACACACACACACACATTTCCCCCTACACACACAGCAAGACATGGAAAATAGAGAGGCGTATCCATCAATAAGAAATGAAGGAAAGGTTTCATTCTGTGAAATAAAAGCTAATTAAGGTTTTCTTTGTCCTTGGTTTAACTGAACAATTATTTCAAGTTATCCAGTATATTGTAAAGAAGATAGCACAGGATAGGGAAGTATGTAGCTGAGGCTGGCCCAGAACTTGCTATGCAGTCCAGGATGGCCTCTGACTGATAATCGCCCTGCCCCCCGCTTCCCAAGGGCTGGGGTTACAGGCCTGCACCACTACAGCCAGTCCAGTCGGATTTTCATTTTATGTCTTAAACATGGGACTTTATTACAGTTTCATATTCAGATTCAGGACTAGCTCACAGAGAAAGTTATTAGAATTAATAACAGACAACAGAAAGACAATAAGGAAAGGATGGAAGAAAATGACCTAAACAAGTAATAGAATAAAACAGAAGTCCATTTTTGGTTTTGAGTTTGTCCACTAATCAACTTATGTCACTCAGGTACAATTCAATCTGGAAAGCACTGATTTGGCTCATGTACCCTGCACACAGCGAAGACTGCACTGTTGAACAGTACTGCCACTAAGTATCATGTCTATATAGAATTTCAAAGTGCAATCTTTAAAAAAAAAACAAACTGATATTTTCTTTTATTTATTTATTTTTATATACATTGGTATTTTGCCTATGAGCATGTCTGTGTGAGGGTGTCGGATCCAGTAGAACTGGAGTTACAGACAGTTGTGAGCTGCCATGTCGGTGCTGGGCACTTAACCTGGGTCCTCTGGAAGTGCAGTCAGTGCTCTTAAATGCTTGCCATCTCTCCAGCCCCTCAAAGGGCAATCTTACTTGCAAATGGTGTCACTAGGAGGTAATTAAGGTCATCCTTGATTACAAGTGGCCTTATAAGAGGCAAATTTGAACGCGGACAGAGAGGACACCACTATGTAAGTACACAGATACACAGGGGCATGATGTGTTGACAGATATAGACACTGGAGTAACACGTGGACAAGCCAACATGGGCCACAGGCTTCTAATAACCAGACTCCAGGGGGAAGTGGATTTCTTCACAGCACCTCCAGTTGGTACCAATTAACCTTGACTTTTAGCATCCAGAGTTGTAAGAGATCTTGTTTCTAGGCACCCTGATTGAGGTATGTTGTCACTGCAGCCCAAGAAATGAATACAGACCACCATAATGCAGAGATGGCCTATGGAAAAGAGTGGAGACCAAGGAGCAAGAGAAAGTGATGGAATGTCAGAGCCCCATAAAACCTTTTTATTTAAAGTATGAACTCAGAGCACTTGTAAGAGACCATGAGGAAAACCAAACAAAAGCTGAAACCTAGAGGTCTTGACTACCAAATCTGATTAGGTTTCACAAACACATATCTCCAAGGGAAGCAAAACTGGTTACACCTGAGCCTTCTCATCAGTTGTTCTGTTTGTAAACCCACCCCTGAACCCCAGGCTTCAACCAACTACCCTTCTTCTATGACCAACAAAGAAACTGCAGCCTACAGCCAGGGAAAACAAGATGAAGAAAATCACCAGGAGGCCGTTTCCTCCTCATTTCCTCTCTGAAAGAATCTGAAATCTACACAGAAAGCCTGATTTTAGGATGCTACGTAGGGTGTCGATGGACTATGCTCTTTCAAAAGATGACACATGTACTGAAAAGCAATGGATGTGAGCGTCATCACCGTCAGGTCCACAACATCCCAAGTGACTTAGCATGCACCTCCCACTTTTCTGCATATTAGCTCACCCTACATGCTTCTAGTACAACTGTTGGAAGTTGAAACTGTAGTCAAGACATAGTCCTTCATGTGACCTTTGAGACTATAAGGAAATAATAGTAAATAAGTGAGTTGAACCAACAATGTGAAGGTATCAACAATTTGGGGCATATTGTGTACTAAGTAAAAAATTGCCAATAAGTAGAATTTTAAGTTCTTTAGTTGCTTTGAAATATTCTCAGTCATATATAGACGATACACATGAGTACAGGTGCCACAGTTGCTGATAAAATTATCCATCGGAAAGTTCATACAGCTCTGCACTGTTAGCATCAACATCATTTTTTAAATAGATTCATGAGAGTTTCATTTGACACAGAATCATTTTACCACCACGCCATTCATGATACAGTATTGATTATTTGAAATAAAAACATTTTTTCATTTTTAAAAGTCAGGGTGTTACTATGTAGCCCAGGCTGGCCTTAAACCCACAGTCCTGCTGCCTCTCTCTTCCAGGTGCTAGAATTATAGGAACCCGGCTAAACTCTTATTTCTAATCTGGACTCAAAATAAACTCCAATCTGTTCCAGTGTAGTCCGGGCAATCCTATTTGCCTCCTCCACTTTTCTTGCCTTTTCTTTTCCCTTCATTCAATGGGAGATTTGCATCACTAATGACCAATGGTGACAGGCAGAAAGCAAATATCAGCTTGGAGGGCTCACATCATGGGAGCACTTTGCTAGCTTGGACATCAGAACCGCTTTCATAAAATGTGGCGCACGCCTTTAATCCCAGCACTCGGGAGGCAGAGCCAGGCGGATCTCTGTGAGTTCGAGGCCAGCCTGGGCTACCAAGTGAGTCCCAGGAAAGGCGCAAAGCTACACAGAGAAACCCTGTCTCGAAAAACAAAAAAATAAAATAAAATAAAATAAAATAAAAAAATGTCACTTAGTTCCCAAGAAGGGCCGGCTCCCAACACCAACAAACGTCACCAATTTCTCTCAGTAGTCTACAGTGAATTAGTGAAAATGTTTTCTGAGACTGAGAATTCTTGAAAAGCTAGATACTGTAAAACCAGCATCTAGCATCATTTTCCCCACTGAGGCAAACAATGGGTCTCTCGGCTCCACTGAAAAATGGCATCTTCTTTTTCTAGTCCCTGAAATGAGCAACCTCAACAAACGCCACATAACACCACAACCTCACTTCCTACGGAAAATTTCTGGCAGACAGAAGACCAGCAGGACTAACTAAATCCATCACACACCCCAAGTAGCTCTTCCACTACTAAGGGCCTCGAGTACTTGGCATCCAATCAAAGCACTTAGCAAAGCTTTTTGTTCAAAGACTTTCGCTGACCCCAATAGAAAGGCGTGCATTCACAGATAGAGCCAACACTCCCAAGCACGGTACCTTATTCTGCTCACACACGTATTGTATTCTCAGGGTGTCCATTGCTCTGATCATGGCTTGCATGGCGGTGAATATGTTTTGGTAAACCAGCTTCGTGAAGCCCCTTCTGTCTTCATCACTGTAGCCAGACCCATGGATTATCCTCATTTGCTTGATAAAAGTGCTCTTCCCACTTTCACCAGTTCCTAGGATTAAAACAAGGAGTGAAGAACAGTTAGCAGACAGACTCCCGACCTGGAACCCTGGTAGCATTAGTCCACACTGTGGGTAACAGGGTGGTGGGATGGGCTTACCAAGAGTCTACCAGAAGCTTATGAGGCAGTACATCCTGAGCCCCAGGACATGCCTTCCCATCTTCCTTTCCTCAAGTCTTTGAAGCAAGAACCCTGTCCGACCATCCTGAACCCGAAGGCTTTGCTGCAGTCTCAGTTATGTGAAGTGTCTGTATGATTGCTGTTGTTAATGTTCCAGTCTGTATTTTAGGAGGTCTCTAAAACTCCTAACACCGGCCTGTGGCACCAAGAAGCATAAATCATTGAACTATCCCATTAATCTTTAATATACAGAGAAATTCAGACATGACATACAGAAAACAGGATGGCAGGATTTCATATTTCTCTCAGATTGAGATTCTGCTAAAAAGGTAGTAAAAATATTTATACAAGGAAGCTCAAATACTTTCTAATATTGTCTGTGATAAATGGAATCAATTATATGAGATATTCATGGTTCATTTCCAAATCTACATGTTGCTTTAAAACTTTTACTAACAGTTTAGTTAATAAGGTTTCCAGTTGAAATGGAGGAGAAACTATCTCCAAACTAAAATTATTCACACTATATACTGTGGTGGTACTGTGTTCCCCAAAATATTGTGTACTCTAATAAACTTATCTGGGGTCAGAGAACAGAAAAGCTACTAGATACTTAGGATAGGCAGTGGTAGCACATGCCTTTAATCCTAGCATTCCAGAGGCAGAAATCCCTCTGTTCAAAGATACAGCCAAGCATGGTAACTCACGCCTTTAATCCCAGGGAGTGATGGTAGAAAGCAGAAAGGTATATAAGGCATGAGGACCAGAAACTAGAAGCATTTGGCTGGTTAAGCTTTCAGGCTTCTAGCAGCACAGTTCAGCTGAGAGCCATTAGGATATGAGGACACAGAGGCTTCCAGTCTGAGGAAACAAGACCAGCTGAGAAGTTGGCCAGGTGAGGTTAGCTGTGGCTTGTTCTGTCTCTCTGATCTTCCAGTGTTCACCCCAATAACTGGCCTCAGGTTTGATTTTATTAATAAGAACTGTTAAGATTCCTGCTACAATATACCCTTTAAATGAATGTACTTTACAAAGTGCAAATTACATTTTATAATGTTACAAAAAGAAAATAGTTATCTAATAGTATTTCTGTCAAAAGAAAATATTATGTAAAAAATCTCAACTGAAACATAAAATTTGCCACAACAAAGGCCACAGATTATTTTTCATGAAATGATTAATTAATTGTGACTCTGTATAGTCACTCACTTTTCAGTATCTCAACAGAATACCCAGATTACACAATTGTCATCAAATTCTATCTCTGGTACCTTGTTGACTCTTAGTCACATTAATACCATGTTGGACATTTTTTTCCCTACATTTTACTTATAGAGATGTGTTTTCCAGAGTAGGAGACTAGAATAAATCATAGTTACTAACTTGATTAAAATTAGTGCTGTTTAAACTTACTTGGGCTTTCCTCTATACCTTACCAGGGCTCTGAAAGCTATGAGTAAGACCTGTAATGAAGGCCCGAGTGAGACAAAACGTTTAAGTATCTTATAATTCTTCTGATAAAAACAAATATCTAGGATTGATTTTGTCCAACACATACTTATTCTTCCGTTTGTTTCTTCACTAAAGCCTCCATGTATTCCCTTCCCCTCAAAAGGACAGACAAAGGTGGATAGGAAAGCCTGGTGGTGTGGGCCCCCCAGCCTTGGCAGCCTCTCCTTACAGCACACTTCTTCAGCACTCCCTACTCCAGCCACACTAGCCTGCTCTCAGATGAACTCTCCTTGAGCCCTTCACACAGGCCGATCCCTCCTCCTGGCCTTTATTCTTGGCCTTGCCTGCCCTTCCTGATCAGGTCAAGTTTAGTACCCAGGGAATAGCCCTCCCCACGATTTTGATGGATTTTCTCGCATGGGTTAAGTTAATCAAGATACTCCCTCCCAGCTGTTATCACAGGCTAGCCTTAATCTGGACAATCTCTCACAGGTATACCTGAAGGCCTGTCCCCTCCATGTCAAATTGATAATACTAAACATCACACCAATGCTGACTTTCTTGGTGCCTGGTATCATACCTGACATTTGGTACCATATTTATTAAGATAAATATTGAGCAGTGCTTCATGTCAGTTGTCTTCCCCTCTCACTGTCCACCTAATTTTCTGAGTCAGGGTCTCTCACAGAATAGGCATTTCCTGGAACTGGCTAAGCTAGCTGGTGGCCCAGTAAGTTTCAGACTTCTATCTGCTCCACCTTCCCAGCTCTGGGATCTTAGCCTTGTGCCACCTTGCTGGCTTTTTACATGGGTGCTGGACATATGAATTCAGGTTTTTATACTTATACAGCAAGTACTGTATTGACTGAATCATCTCCCCAGGTCCCTTCTTAATGATCTTTAACTGTACAGTTCATCCCAGTCATGTTAAATAATTCAGTGTTGTGCAATCAATTGTCAGACCCTTTTAATCTTACAAAACTGAACCCCACCCCCAGCCCCAGCCCAGGTAAACACCCTTCCTTTCTGCTTTGTCAATCTGACTATTCTTGACACCTACTCTCCATGAAGTTATACTCTCTTCGTTCTTTTGTGGCTGGCTTAGTTCAGTTAGCATCCTCAAGGTGTGTCCATGTTACAGGGTACTCAGCAGTCCTTTTCTGAATAGCGTATCTCTGAATTTTTCAAATACAAGGTATTTTAAAAATCCACCAAGTTGCAACTACCTAACACCACCTAACATATGGGAAAGTAGGATATGTCAATTTTCTGTGCCCAGCCCTGTGTTCCAGGTGTGTTACAGGACTCCAACCACATAGATAAGCAAAGATAAACCCTAGAAGGAGCCACAATCTGATATTCAATGACCTCTTCTGAGTGCTAACTGAATGCTGATACTGACAAATATTAAAGTAGTCGCTATGCTGGGGTCTCTATACAAATCGTCTCCTTTAATCTTCAAACCACTCTGTGAAATAAGTATTGATGTCCACAGTATGGAGCTAAGACACCTGGGATATGAGAGCTGAGTAGAAGGAAGATAAGCCCTTAAAACTGACTCTACACGGGCATGGGGAGCTTCCCATGAAGGTTTATAGCACATCCCAGCAGTATCTGAGCAGGGTGTATCTGCAAGATGGTGGCCTGGCTGGGGTTTACATAGTGTGTGACTGGATTTAAAATTTGACTGGTTATGTAAAGTCTGCAAGCACACATAGTTAACAAGCCCTGAAATTGATTCACTTGAACTCCACTGACAGGCTCTACCGTCAGAGAAGATCTGGCTCATATACCAAAGACCTAGTGACATTAGCCTAATCAGGTCAAATTTTAAATTCTTCCCAAGATTATGGTATTCTCTGTTACCCAGCAGGTCTGAGCCTCCGGTCCACTGTCAGTTCATCCCAAACAAACATTAGTAGTCCTGCGTTTTACAGATGAAGAAGCCAATGTGATCATGGAAATTATGTAACTGCTTCAAAGGAGCTGTAACTGTGACCTTGAAGCCAGAAAACTCACTCAAGACCGCCTGAAATTCTGCAGCAAGATAAGGAAGTTCCCAGTAGCAGAGGTCATTCTCTCACACACGGCCAAAGCCAGTCACAGACACTTAATATTAAAACTATTCTAAACATTTTTTTAAATGGCCAAATGAGAAAAGCACTTAACAATATCATTAGTTTAAAATACTCTTTAAATATTTGGTTTCAAATGGTAATTGTTCAGTTAAACACACACACACACACACACACACACACACACACACACGACAAAATAAGATAGGTTGGAGGCAAAGAAGAGACTGAATGACACCGACTACTGAAAGCCAAGATCAAGAAAACCTAGAAGCCATTTGGTGGGCATGCTCTTGCTCTCACTAAAGCTGCCATACAACCCAGCTGGTGCTGTCTCTCTCCAGAAGAGAAACTAAGAGCCATAATGACTAAGCAGGTTGTTCAAGTTTGAACAGCACGTGAGTGCTGGCCTGGCTCTGAATCTAGGTCTGCACGGATACACGCTCTTCCCGTGACCATTTGGTACTTTCCTCAACCAAGGGTCTCTTTCCTACACAAACTGAGATTACGACAGGAGATGCTTCCTTCCTCTTCCAGCCCGCAGAGCTGTCCCGGAGCTGAGATGGCTCCAGCAGCAGGGAGCAGCAGGCAAGAGCCTGTGAGGATAAGTAAGGACATCATGTTCTCTGTCATGGCAGCTGTGGCCAGGGCTGCAGGGACTGATCAGCTCAAGCCAAGGATCTGAGCTGATCCATTTACCTGTTCCAAACAGAAACTCCACAAGTGGGCTTCCAGCATACATTCATTCATTTATTTATTCAGGGAAGATTTTTTTAAAAAGTACCCAGAGGCAAGATTCTGGGAATGAAAACTATAAGTGGTTTTTCCTGGGTGATTTTTAATTGAAGAGTAGATGGCTTAGCTCCCCCACCCCCACTGTCCCCACTCCTCTTTAGTCAATTACCTTCTAAAACATGGGTTTGGGACCATGCTGTTGGGCTAAATGTGTCCCTCCAGAATGAGGCTGCTGGAGCTCCTCCTGAGAATGGAGAAGAGAAGGAATCCCCAGTTCACAGCAGATTTTTGGTCCAAATAGGGACCAAGCATTTTGACAGGAAAATGAAATTTTGGTGTCCAGATTACCAAAGATTCCTCAGGTATGATGAGGGTCTCATCCCAGGAGGCTTTCCACCCAGATTCAGCATGTGGCGACACAGAAGAGGAGAAGAGTCAATTAGCAATTCCACTTACAGATTCAGTTTTCAATATAAATAAGGGAAATGGCACTTCTCCATTTCATTTCCATTTTTTCATTTTTCATATTTGAAAATAAAATTCAATAATGGCTATTAGAGTCATAAGCCACTAAATGACATCCCAGTCAAGAAAGGAATACCAGTGTGC